CAGCTAATGTGAAGCTACAAGTTGCATTAGAAAGAGTTCAAAGGCGCGCTACACGTTGGATTCTAAAAAGTAAAGTTGGAGAAATGTCTTATGAAGATAGACTGAAAACTCTCAATTTATTGCCACTAACTTACGATCGAGAAATCAGAGATCTTGTCCTGGCCTATAAATGTATTTTCGGCCACACTGATTTGAACATTGAACATTTTGTGTCATTTATACATCATAATCGAACTCGTACTCAGAATCCATCTCTAATGTTAAAATCTCCTTACTGTAGAACATCCACTTTCCAAGGATCGTTCTTTAACCGAATAGTTAAAACTTGGAATAATGTTGGAAAAACAGCCTCTCCTGAAAAGTTCGCCAGTTTAACAATTTTTAAAAGCTTTCTGCATGTGACATACACCGCATTGGTCAACAGTACTTTTAATGTTGATATGGCATGCACTTGGTCGCTCACAAGAGACTGTCCCTGCCACCGTTCTTAATATGCATGTTATGTAATATATATTTGTATATAGTGAATTAGGGCGTTTGCGCCATCCCCTTTGGACTTAAACTTGTAAATGTTTCTACTATATTTGTCCAATAAAGCTGATAAATATATATATATATATATATATATATATATATATATATATATATATATATATATATATATATATATATATATATATATATATATATATATAGGTCATATTGAGCGCTCTACAGGATGAGCCATTGCCGCTTACGCATTGGGGGGGGGGGGAGTGTTCTATTACCAGTTTAATATTTATTAGTTCAGGGGTTGCACCTAGCATGATAGGTTTAGTTGTCCCGTTTGCGCTATCCCCTTTGGACTTATAACTTGTAAATATTTCTACTATATTGTGTCCAATAAAGCTGCTAAACAACATAAATAAATAGGTAGCTGCATGCCAGGTTTTCAGAAAGAGAAAAAAATATTAACCTAAATAGATAACCTACATTCGATTTAACGTAGCCAATTCTGAGTATGGTTTAACTAGAAATACATGTATGCATTACGACCTGCACCCTCGACCTATACATTACGCAAATTTATCTCAGAGCTAAGTGGAAGCGAGTAAACCGAATCTCAACTGAATCTATACGAGGCAAATACGACAAATGCTTACCTGCGCTAACGTTTTTGAAATTTCTCAACGTGCATGGCTTTCCATCTTCGGAACAAGCTTTTTGTGCATCGGTCATTGGCAGAATCACCAGGAACAACCAGACTAAAGTTAACATTCTCAGATAAATTGATGATTGCCAAGCACACTCCCTAAATTTTGTATTAACCGAGTGAGATCGTTTTATGTTATACTGTTTTTATGCGCTTGTCATGCAGGTGTATGGAATTGCATGTGACCTACTTTAAAAGCCTGTCTCAATCATCGGTTATTAATGCTGTTATATTTGCCTTGTATAATTTTTTGTACTACCTGCATGCAAAATAATTTGATAAACTTTAAACAATTACGCGAAATGTGTAATATTTTGTTTTGTATTTTAAATATAAAAAAGATATTGTGAATAGTTATGTTGGATGTTGGATGCAATTTGGTCATTCGGCCAAGGATCGATTCCTGCAATATGCTTTGATTCGTCTCGTTCGAGACGCATGTGAGAATTAAGTATGCTTTCAGTATGACACTACCAAACACTGCAATTCTTTGGCTGTATTAACAAGAACGATCATCGGGAAATGGCGTAGAACTGTTAGAGCTACTCAGGACTACCAAGTATAAATAAAATTAATTTAGTTTAGGTTTCTTCCTGAATAGCAACACTGGATCAATTAGCAATTAGACAACGAGGTTGGATTTGTGTTTTATGAGCGTTTGAAAACGTATTTTCAGACTAGGGCCCATAAAATTTGCGCCATTTTGAACTTTTTTTCACATTTTGAAGCAGGAATAACTCAGAAACCGCTTGAAAAACCAAAGTAACCGTAATAATATCCTGTATGTCGTTTTTTTATGAGATTTCTGGTTATACAAGTCATTTTTCAAATGAAAGAACTTGAAAGTTCACTATTTTTGACAATATAATAGTTTTATAATAAAATTGAGGAAAAACATGTTGGCCGAAGCTCACAAGAAAAATTGGGCTGGACAACATCCAGAATTTTTATGTTGGACATCGATCCAACCGACAATTTGAAAGCAAAATGGAATTGTAAGTACAATTACCCGTAGCTCCCTGACAATGTCCATTCCACATTTGTCCAGTATTAAAAAAGGAAGAATCCGGAGTAAAAATCAAGAATTCTTTTCACAATCAGCTCAGGCCAAATAATAAATTTTTGTTTTTATATTTTAAACTATTTTGAAAAGAATATAAATTTATGTAATTTCTTTGGCAGCAGGTGGTACAATACGTTGTAGGTTGCGTAAACATTTTATAAATTACAAGGGCATGACGGGCGCAGAGTAAAGTGTTCGAACATTACTGAGGCATTTTTATCCAATATTTGCTCATGCAAGCCATAATTCGGCAATGTTTACAAAAGCTAAAACATTCGCAATTTAAAATGACATATAATTTCTTCTACAAGAATCTGCAGGCCCTAATAGGCCTACTCTGGGGCGGTAAATCGCCCTAAATCACCTAAAATCGCCCAAAATCGCGTTAAATCGCGGGTCAAAATTGTCAAATTTCTCTTAAATCGCCTAAAATCGATTTAAATCGCCTAAAATCGCTTAAAATCATGGGCGTACTGGGCGGGTGGGGGTGAGTGGGTGGGGGTGGGGGGACCGGGCGACCGCTCCCCCCCCCAGTTGCTAGCTGGGCGGTCGCCCCCTGGCTTTGTTGGGCAAACAAAGCCAGCCGGGCAATATTCGCTTCACAATCGTGCAAAATTGGTTTATTATAGAAATAAATGGGAAATTCTGTCAATTATGTGGGAAATATGCTATCTAATAGGAATTTTTTGTAATCACTTCTCCCCCTCCCCCCCCGTTGACAAC